ACTTCATACATTTTAATGTCTTGTAATAAAAAAATGTAAATCATATCCCATCATTCTCACCCTCCTCAAATGCTATAGTACTCATTATCTATAACATTGTTTTAAGTCAGTTGCTGTCTTATACAATTCTCATTAATTTCTATGGCTTTAACTACTATACTCAGTTTCTCAACCAATATTTAGGTGTTCACAAAGTCTCCAGACATTGGCCTAGCTGCAGTTATTGATCCTAAGTGAGGATCATCCCCAAGTCATGACATTTCTTTTGAATTCTCGTACATTGTACAGTCCATAATTATTTGTTGGGGGCTCATCCACTGAATACTTATAATATAACATAGGCTAAGCATATTCTATGGCACATTATCATTGCTTTGTGAATATTTCATAAGTGATGAATGGTGTTTCCTTCCTAACAGCTTCCTGTGGCTTCCCATTAGTAGTACTAATGGTCTCCTACAACTAGATCTGGTTTTATATTAATAACACAAAAAACAACAATTGCAATATAGGGACAGTATCTAATTAAGTCTACAGTCTAATTAAGTTTACAGTCGTTTCTAAACATTATACATTTGACCTTCACAACACCATGGTGAGATTGGGACTCTGGTTTTATCTCGCAGATGAGAAAACAGAAGTAAATGATGTTAAGGATGTCTTTTTATAGATATAAACATTTAGGCACAGATTTTTAAAATCCAAATCCAGATTCAGAATTGTTCATTCTTTCTTTCCATCATGTTCTCCTTAAAAAAAAAAAATAATAATTTTAAATTTATAAGTGAGTTTTATCCGTTGAATTTTATCAAATGATGAAACCATTACTAGGTATTTGGAATGAAAACACAAAGCTGAGTGTATCGCTTACTTAAATAAGAGGGAACTATGCTGGTTAACCACAGTCTCTCAAAACAGAGTATTCTTAGGTTTTGGGGAAAACTGGGAGATCAAGAGATCTGTGAGCATTCGATGTGAATAGGTTGATGTGACCTTTAGAAGCATGGTTGGTTAATCAGGTGTTACCACTGTTAATTGGTTGGCATTTAGAATTTTGTTCATTGGGGTGAGTTCATTTCTGATTAGCCAACTTTCAGAAGGAAAGGGTTGACAATGGCTGGCTTGAGGAATCATGATCAAGACCATATAGGCAGGTAATTGTTAATTAATTAAATGAGTCTGAAACTTGTGTTGGTGGGTACTTGTTACTGTGATTACAAAACAAGCATTTCCCTCCATCTGTCCTCCTCCTCCATTTTACTCAAAGTTTATTCATCTTTGTACCCTCAGGGCTTAGACAGAATGTTATATATAGTTCTTTTCAAAGACTGTGAAGTAAATGATTGGAAATAGAATGAAGTCATTTTGGACCTATCTTAGAATTTCTATCATCCATCTTTTTGTTTTCATTACAAAGCCTAGTTTATTTCTCTAACACCTCCTATCTGGATCGGGTCCTAGCTTCCTACTTCCCTCCAGTTGTTTTTCTCTTTCATCCCATTCTGTACTTAACAGTTTTACTTTACAAAAAAATTCAGTGCTGTCACACTCTTGCTCAAAAGTAGTCACTGTCCAAACTACTGAACCAAGGTCAAAATTTCTAGTTTGTTACTGATGATCTCTCAGTGTTTCAGAGATAGTGTACCCATTGTATCTTGTTATTCACTACTCTCCTGTCTGTGAATAAGACACATAAAGGCACTATTCCTGGGATGTTTCTAATATCTTACTGCTGCACTTTTGTTCATGCTTTTCTACTGCCTAGAATACCTTTCCTCATTCCCCCATTTCTAGCCAATGAAATCCTATACCTACTTATTAGGTTTCCTATTTATAAAGACTTTTCTGGTCCCCTGGTAATATATAATTTTTTCCTTTCTCTGAATCTACTTAAGCACTGATTATGCCAGTTAGAGGAACACATTTTAAATTCTGTTCAGCAATGCAATTATTTTGTACTTTTCCTATTATCTATTTATTTTATTATTCCAAATTGTGAAGAATCCATGAATTCTCTATCTTGTTAATCTCCTGGATACTCTGTTAAAATATTGTAAATAAAATAGCTCTTGGCACATATATGTTGAAGTGAATTAACATATTTTAAAATATCTAAGTTCCTTTCTTTAAGAAAAGAAATATTGGATTCCACCTGCTGGTACAGCTGAATCCACACAACCTCAGAGATGGGAAGCAAATAGATTGGGGTAAAAATGTCAATAATTTGGTCAAATAGTGTATATTTTTGTGATGATTGATATTTATGAATATTTGCTGCCATCCGAAAGATGTTTTATGTAGATAAAATGCACTATAATTTTTGACATTTGCTTGGGGTAATAGAAATAATTCTTAATTTATTTTTACCTTTATTTTTATCATGACATATTTGAGGCTAAACATACCCATGCATGTGTTTATGTATAATATAGCAGTAAATGGTAATGGATCAACCTTTTTTTTAATTCAGTGCCTTTCTCACAGCATAGTTTTACTTAATACTAAAAATAAACAGAATTCTAAATTATGCTCATTACATATACAACTGACTACTTCCTAGTGAGAAAGAAGAAAACATTTTAGAGGTTCAAAATGTGGTGAAGAAGTGTAGTATCCACCATACAAAGAACACTTGAAAAACAGTTATCAAATGAAAGGGATATTTTAGTCTTCACAATTTCAAAGCTAAGTTAGTAAGATTTTTTATTTATTTATTTTTAAAGATTTTATTTATTTATTTATTAGAGAGCGAGCGAGAGAGAAACAGCATGAGAGGGGGGAGGGTCAGAGGGAGAAGCAGGCTCCCCGCCGAACCGGGAGCCCGATGTGGGGCTCAATCCCAGGACTCCGGGATCATGACCTGAGCCGAAGGCAGTCGCTCAACCGATTGAGCCACCCAGGCGCCCCCAATTTTTTTTTTTTTTTAGAAAGGCGGTACTTATGTACAAAGTATTCTTTAGTTCTTCCTAAAAAAATACTTGCAAAAACTTAACCTTCACCGTTTGTTGGGTAATAATTATAATAAAGGAGCAGAGAATATGTATTGTATCACTTTGTACCTCTCAGCCTTATGCACTTAAGTGTCCAGTTAAGTATCTTTTGGGGGAAAAAAGCCAAACAATGAAGTGGCAGATGATAGAGCAGTCTGCTTCCTGTGTAATATTTTTCAACCCTGTTACTCAGAGTGTGGTCTTCAAGTCAGCAGTGTCAGCATCACTGGCCAGCTTGTCAGAAATGCAGAACTTCAGGTTCTACCCCTGACCTACTGAATTTGAGTCCAAGTTGAAAAAGGTCCCAGGTGATTCATATGCACATTAAAAATTGAGAAGTACTCTATTATACTATGGATAGAAGCAGACCAAGGACTATTAACTTTTTCCCCCTCTGTAGCTCTTTTTAAAAATATTTAAACAAAAAAATACAGGGCGCCTGGTGGCTCAGTAGGTTAAGCGTCTGCCTTTGGCTCAGGTCATGATCCCAGGGTCTTGGAATCAAGCCCCTGGTCGGGCTCCCTGCTCCACGGGGAGTCTGCTTCTCCCTCTCGCTCTGTTGCTCGCCCCCCTCCCCCGCTCATTCTCTCTCTCTCTAATAAATAAATAAAATATTTCAAATATATATTAAAAAAGAATAGTTGTTCTAGGGGCATCTGGATGGCTCAGTTGGCTAAGCATATGACTCTTGGTTTCTCCTTAAGTCATGATCTTATGGGTCATGAGATGGAGCCCTGCTCTGTGCTCAGAGGGAGGTCTGATTGAGATTCTCTCCTACCCCTCCCCCCACTCACACACGCACGTTCTCTCTCTCTCTCTCAAATAAATAAATCTTTTTAAAAAATAATTGTTCTAAATAATTACATCCCTGCTACTTGTGAAGGCATTGACTGAGTTACCTATTCAACCTCCTTTTATGTTAGTGGGCTTGAGATTTGACTCTTGGCTTTGTTACTCATGATCAGAACACCTGACCAGAATATACATATTTAACATAAAAAAGATCTTTTAATGCTAGCTAAGCTAAGATAAATTTATGGCAAGAAAAATGCCTGGCACATTGCTGCAGAGTTGTCTTGGCCTCCTGCCAGGATTTATGTTTTAACACTTCTGGGATTAATGATACACTTCACATAAAGGATTATTTTTATATATTGGTTCCCTGGAATGAACACAGTGGGTAAATTGTAATGCCAAGTTGCAAAATAACCTTTTGAAGGAGCTGCCACTTACTATGTGTGTTGTTACAAATTATTATTGACTTTAAATACTGGGTTTCTTTCATTTCCTGGATGTGGCAAAGGACATAATGTCAGATCAACTTTATGTGAAGGACTTTTAAATTTATCTCTAGAGTCTGAGAAGGAAGGTAACATCTGACTTTAACAGATGTACCAAAAATGTAAACAAATTTTTTTTAATATACCTAAGGAATATTACAAATCATATACATATGGTATATTGTTGTTTTATTTTATTGTTATTGTGGAAATACATGGTTCATTTCAACACAGAGACATGTTTTGCTCTTTACATACTTAATCACCAGCAAAAATTTGATTAGATGATGCAAGCTTTCCTTACTGGAAGCCAAGGCATTAAGCTCTTTTGTGTAATTGTTTAATTACCAATGCACTATTTTAATTGACACGTTAATATAGCTTTCCATGGAAAGGAAGATATAATCTTTAATTGTGTTTCTTATCTAATGAAAACCACTCTCTTAGTTGGGCCAGTTTGGCAATTTGACTTAGGAAAAAGTATTATGGAATGAAGTTTTTATGTGAACAAGGAAAAAAGAAATTAACTTTAGGGCTCCTCTCATTGGTCTGCCAAATTGGAAGGCCATTTTCGGCGTGATTATCATGTTCTAATTAGTCTCTGGAGATTCATGGGCAATCGAGTGCTCATTAATGTGTCTTCTTCCTGTAACATTTATTCGTTCATTCGCCTTTCAGAGACTCAAATATAGAAACCAAAAATTGATGTTGGGTGTTAATGTGCTTACAGATATTGCCACCACTTATCCAGATAAGAAGTCCATCTTAATGTATCTCACATCACTCTTCCAAGTTTTGCCTCAACAAGTGAGCATTGAAGCCATCCAGGAAGTGGAAATGTTGCCAAGGCCATCAAAAGTTACAAGAGAAGAACATTTTCAATTACATCATCAAATGCATTATTCTCAACAGGTAAAGTATCAAAAGAGTACTTAATATCAATGATATTTTCTATCGTATATGCATTTTTAGTCATCATACACATACCTATCTATTATATGTATGATAAATACATGATAAATATGTCTATATAGCATAACGTGTATATATATATATACACATACCTACACACAAATATATGTCTACATAGCATAATGTGTGTGTGTGTGTGTAGGTATGTATATATATATATATATCTACCTATAGATAGAGAAACTCTATAAGCCTTCTGAATTTTAACTGATATAATGGACCATAATATTGTTTTCAAAGCACATTATTAAAATACTCTGCTGTTGATATGCACTATGTTATAGAAATATGGAAGACAATATATTGCATTTCCATTGTGTAAAATGAATTAAAATAAAAGATAGACTCATATATGTATGAAACTCTCTGTCAATGAGAGTAAAGAACAAAGAGAGCAAGAGCAGAGGCAAGTACTCTGTTTAATAATACTTTCTTATTTTTAGTGGCAACCTACTGATGTATTAACAAATTTTGATTATTCAAGATAACATTTTTGATAAAAGTGGTTTATAACACTTTAAATAAAAGTTGAAGGGAGAATACATATGATAAAGATTTTTATGATCGTCCAGGATTTAGTGGGATTCTTTTATTACATGGCTTGTTCTTGCTCCCAAGAGTGGCTGTTTGGGGTGTTTTCTTTTACTTTCTTTGACACAAACAATGATGAAAAAGCCTAAAAAAAAAAAAAAAAAAGCTTTTAGCATAATTCCTTCTGAAGGTGTGGACAGCTAATCTTAGGCTTAATTTTCTCACTCTCCTAAAGCACTAGTTCTGTATTTTGCTTATGAAAGCTCCAGTCCTTTCCAGAAACTTGACCTGATGAATTCTGGTTTTGTTTACTTTGAGTTCAGAGAAAATTGCTTTTGGATGCCTGTTTTTGCCAGATTGAAGAGCACCATCCCATAGGAGTGCTGGAGCTGTGTCAGTATGGAATCCTTATAGTTAAGTCCCGCCCTCATCCCTTCCCTGAGTACCCGCTGTCCACCATGACATTGAGCACCAGAATTGTGCAAGTGTACCAGTTTGCAATAGCACTATGTGCATTTCAAATTAAACTTTTCATCTCACTGTTTCCATTTAACGTTTCTTTTTGTAGTGTGTGGGAAAGCAGTCCTTCCAGGGTTACTTATGATGTCTCCTCCTCCCCTCTGTCCCCTTCCCCGTAACCCTACTCTGCAGATCACAGTCAGTCTAGCACAGGGCTATGAACGAACTCCTTCCTCTCCTAAGCCTCGGTTCAAGAGCTATGCCTACACTCAGGCTGCTTATGTCGCCACCTCTGACCCCACACGGAGCCCACTTCCTTCACAGGTCTGTCAACATTTACTCTCTGTTCTACAAACCAAAGAACTTCCTCCTCGAGGATAACCTGACATGGCTTTCATTTAAATTTTGCAGTGCCTTTTTTCTCCTTCGTCAGGAGCAGTTTCATTATTCCCAGTTGTATTAGATGTTCTCACATGATGCTGTTTCGTTATTGTGATTTCCCTAGGTTTAACATGGGTTGATTCTTCATGAATGGGGATTCTTAGAATAGTGGTGTGTGCTTTCATTATATAATTTACCTGTAAGGTTCTCTTTTATAAAGCCTACCAATAGTTATACGAAAACATCATTAAAGGTTTAAATATGTAATTTTTATTATTTTTTTTTTAAAGATTTTATTTATTTATTTGAGAGAGAGAGAATGAGAGACAGAGAGCATGAGAGGGAGGAGGGTCAGAGGGAGAAGCAGACTCCCTGCCGAGCAGGGAGCCCGATGCGGGACTCGATCCCGGGACTCCAGGATCATGACCTGAGCCGAAGGCAGTCGCTTAACCAACTGAGCCACCCAGGCGCCCTTAAATATGTAATTTTTAAAAGAATGGGAAAATGGATGAAATTCACTGGTCACACTACTTGGCGAGATTTTTCTAGATACCTGATACCTAAAGGAAACATACACTTTATATAGATGTTCTTATTATATTTTCATTCTATAAAATATATTTATACTCTATTTAAGAAAAATATAACTACAGGGCCACCTGGGTGGCTCAGTCGGTTAAGGGTCTGACTCTTGATGTCAGCTCAGGTAATGATCTCAGAGTTGTGAGACTGAGCCCCACATCCGGCTCTGTGCTGGGCATGGAGACTGCTTAAGATTCTCTTTTGCCCTCTTCCTCTGCCCCTCCTCCCCCCAAAAAATGAAAGGAAAATATAACTATAAGCTTTTTCATATGATACATTTTAATTTGGCTAATTTAAACATGTATATAACATGCTCTGTACTATTTGTACAAGAAAGTCTGTCACTCCCGCACCAGTCAGATTCTATGCACCATTTCGTACTTTCCGCATAAAGAGTCTTCTCAGTGGAATTTTCCATTATTGCGGTATTGCAGGAAACCTAAAAATACAAGAAATTACAGCCTGGTTTATGTTAGAGCGTGGAAATGAAATGTGCTTGATTTGTGAGATTTGCTAGAATTTCTTTTTAGAAGAAAACTATTTTGTTTAGTAGAGCAATTTGAAAGTTCTTAAAGAAGTGACTTTTGTCAGAACTACATTATGAATGGGAATTTAGAAATTTTAGACCTGATCCTATTTGGTGAAAAAAGTGTACATGTTTAGAGGCTCACTGATTTTTTACAATAGTGGTTGTATTTAATTAGTGATTATTTTGCACAGTTGATTTATACATAAGGCTGAAAATTCTTAGCACTCACTGATTCCCCTGGGGAAGCATATTTCAGGGCATACTTAATGCCCTCTATCCTTGGCTAGCTTTCTGGCAAAGCTGAACAAAGGAGACTGGGTGAGAACATTTGTGTGACTCAGCCTCATCTTCATTTAAATTCCCATATCCATGTTTTTACAAAGGTTCGTTGTATAATCTTGAACAAGAAACTTAATCAGTTTTCTCATTATCAGTAAATAGAAATAGTTGGGCCACTCATTACTGAGTGTTGCTCTATGCCAAGTGTGCACATTATATGAACTAAGGAAATCCTTATAACAACTTCGGAGAGTGGGAGATGCTATTTTTATCCACATTTGAAGTTTCCTCTTTCTGCCCTTCTCTTTCTCTTCTTCCTCCTCCCTCGCACCCTCCTGACTGCCTGACTGTCTGGACTCTTTTCATCACCATCCTCCCATTGAAACCTCCAAGTCTTAAAGAATAGGGGTGCATCCTAAAATAAAGGAGCATAAGTCAAGACAAGGAGATGAGTTCTTTTTCCCCCTCATTATCACTTTATTGAGCTGCCTTTTCCAGAAGTTTTTCTCCAATGCCTCTTCTGGTGGCACATTTTTACCTCATTACCAACCCCATTAAGGCATTGCTCAGTTATGACTCCTTAATGAAGTAATTATAAGTGGACTTAATTTTGCTAGACTCTATTTGTTTATTCTACCTTTGTATAAATACTACAAAATATATAATGTGTCATAAAATAAAAATATTCAGCAAATTCACTTACCTGTTTTATTTAGCATAAGCCATTGAAATAAACCTGATGGTGTCCTTTAGAAAAGAAGAAGCATGAATTACAATTGATGAGGAATGATATATTCTGCCTGTTTCTAAAGGAAGCACATCAGAAGATGATGTTACATGTAGTTAGTTTGATAAGTTTATGTCTTAACGATATACTAAGAAAAATTTTTTCTGAAGCGTTTCACAGAGGGGCTGAACCTATACTGCCCCCTACAGGTTGTATCTGATCCACTTCAAATGAACTCAAGACAGACCACACTGGACTCCATTAGAGAGTTTCATTCAAGTGGTTTACTTGGTGGTCTGCAAAGGGGGTGAAGTTTTCCATAATAGGAAAGCAAGCTACTTGGGTGCCTGTCCACTATGGAAAGCAGAAATTCTGTGAATTACTTAAAAGTTCCCAATATATTGGGGTGCCTGGGTGGCTCAGTTAGTTAAGCGACTGCCTTCGGTTCGGATCATGATCCCGGGATCCTGGGATCGAGTCCCACATCGGGCTTCCCTTGCTCTGTGGGGAGCCTGATTCTCCCTCTCCCTCTGCCTGCCACTCTCCCTGTTTGTGCTCTCTCTCTCTGTCAAATAAATAAATAAAATATATTTTTTTAAAAGTTCCCAATATATTAGAATCATCAGTTATCCCCATCTGTCCTAAACTTGAAAAATCCGATTTATACTCTTTGCAGTTTGAAAATCTATTGGGGTGAAGCAGTCGACCTACCTCAGGATCCCTGTTTATAAATGAGTTTTTCTCATAATTTGCCAAGAAGAAATATTATCTGGTGTGAACCTCTGGCTTTCTCTCATTGTATATCACTTTACTGCCATCCATCCTTGGATGGAGGACATTTTTTTTTATGGTTTTACTTAATTCCTATTTTTATGACTTTGATCATGCCTCTCATTCTACTCCTAATTTTATATCAAAAATACTCAGTATCTTTTTCACTTTCAGTTTTTGTTTCTTTCCTGGAGCCTAACCCTGCTTAAAACTCCTCTAGTGTATGTCACCTCTTCTGAAACACATCAATCCACTTTATCTTGTTAATATACTGTTATGTGACTCTTTCATTTATCACCTTCTGTAGAATAGTCTATGCTTTATTTATTCATTTATTTAGTCCACAAATAATTATACTTCATCACCAAATCCAATGTCATCTTTTCAGCTTTCAGGCTTTCCATCATAATTGAAATAACTTTTCTCTTAGCTTCTAGACTCATTAGCTTCTTCTCCATCTCTGTTCTGTATCTCTTTTACTATCTGGCTTTCTTCTCTTCTAACTCCCTTTGCATAAGAACTTCATGAAAGATCCCTTGAGCCATGTATTATAGTCTCCCTGTTATCAATATGATTTAACCTCCTGGCTTCAAGCTGTATTCGGATGACCGTTGTGATCTGTGTTTTTACCCACTTTCAGTGTCTTTTAAGTTACAGCCACATTTCCAACTCATTTTCAACTCTTTGGCATGTATCTATACCTAGATGTCCACTGATTTCTTAAACCTGGTATGTCCTGAAGGAAACTTTGTTTCATTGCTCACAAACCCATTTCTTGTCCCTTTTTGTTATGTAAGTGAGAATATTACTCAGCAGTCATTGATACTTAAATATGTGACATCGTACTCTTTGGTCTCTTTATTGATCTGGTATTCATTAATGAGACATGCAAAGTCATTTCCTTCTTTACAAAATTACTCCATTAAGCTATGTCCCTGATGTTATGTCCTCTGATTTAGGCCCTCAATACATGTCTTCTGGATTACAGAAATACCTTTTCAATCAATGTCACTATCTTTATCTTAGTCCCCTCTAAATCAGATTAAATTTCCATATTAACAACTTTAACAATATCATTCACAAAACTTTCTTCACTTCCTTTTGCCTTTATAACAGGTCCACTCTCTTAAATTTCATCAAGAAGCTCCATGATCTATTATCTATTTATATTTTCATGTTTATTTCACAGTAGTCTATTTCATGTTTTCTTTACTCCAACCAAATTAAATCACTTGCTGTCTTCCATAAGTGCCAAACAATTTCCTATCTTAGCTTTTTTTGGTTCTCTCAGCCTAGAGTGACTTTTGTCTCCTTTCACATTGGGTAGTTTAATCAAAATTTCAAAGCCTAACCAATAAGTGGCAGAGCCTGGATTCATGTTTGGATTTATCTAACCCCAAGTTAATGTTCTTCATACTAACACTGAATTCTCTCTCTCTCTCTCTCTACACACACACACACACACACACACACACACACACACACAGGATTACTCACACATAGAGTAGTATTCATTTATGTAATCATTTTTTAAAAGTTTTTATTTATTTATTTGAGAGAGAGAGAGAGCAGGAGCAGAGGGGAGGAGCAGAGGGAGAGGGAGAAGCAGACTCTCCACTGAGCAGGGAGCCCGATGTGGGGTTCAATCCCAGGACCTCAAGATCATGACCTGAGGCAAAGGCAGAGGCCTAACTGACTGAGCCACCCAGGTGCCCCTGTAATCATTTAATACTTAATTTTTAATCACCTACTATGTGCCAGGTATTATTATATGATATTGCAATCAATATCATTTAATAATTGGTTCCACCAATTGGTGCACCAATAAACAAACTTACAAAATAATTTGTGCCCTAATGGAGAGCATAGGCTTATGGGAGAGTCAAAATATGAATAAGATAAACATTATGAATAAGTGAAAGAATATTTCAGATAATATGCTAGTAATATGTATAAAGTAAAGCAAAATTCAGTAGTAATTACAACAGTTAGTGGTAAAAAGAAAAAAAATAAAAGAGGAAAGTAGAATATGCAGTATGTGACAGCTGGAGTAGT